CCGGAACTGGAGTTCAGAGCCGCCAGGGGCTTGTGACTCCCTCCTGATTCAAAAAGACAGCCGCATCCTCAGTTGCCAGCCCTTGCAGCATGCACCTCCGCACCTCTGCACTTCCACACCTCCTCTGAGTCTCAGTGTGCTTTTCTCTTTCCTTCTAGTTGTAGAATTTCCCCTCAGCCAGCCTTCCTGTGGTTCTGGATGATGTCCGTTTTGTCTTTTGGTTGTATTTTTGAATTTGTTGTGGGAGGCAGCAATTTCCAGTGTTTACCTATGCCGCCATCTTGGTTTTGGTCCCTGCTTTAAGGAGTTTATTGTGTAGAAGGAAATAATAGAAAGGCATTAAGCTAGTAATTCTGGAACAGGGTGAAGTAAATACTCAGTGCAAATATAGTTCATAGGCGGGCTCTTTGTCTTGGTAAAACATGGAAAGCAGCAAAGAAAATGCTAGAAGAAGTAAATCCAAACCTCAGACCTAAATGTGGGAAGAAGTGATTCTGGGAGGGAAGACAGTAAACCAAAGACTTCACGTGTATGGGTTTGTCCTTTTAAATGATCATTTTAGCCCTGACCGGTTTGGCTTCATGGATAGAGCGTCGGCCTGTGGACTCAAGGGTCCCAGGTTCCATTTGCTTCAAGGGCATGTACCTTGGTTGCAGGCACATCCCCATTAGGGGGTGTGCAGGAGGCAGCTGATTGATGTTTCTCTCCCATTGATGTTTCTAACTCTGTCTCCCTCTCCCTTCCTTTCTGTAAAAAATCAATAAAAATATATTTTTAAAATTTTTTTTTATAAAATGACCATTTTAGCTGCAGTGTGGAGATTTATTGCAAAGGGCATAAGATTGGAGGCTAATCTTAAGTAGTTAGGAGACAGCTATATAGTCCTACCCAGTAAAAGACGAAGCAAGAGAAATAGAGATAAGCTGCCTGAGATACTTATCCTTTAAGGGTCAACACAGTGTCACCTCTCTAAAGCCTTTTCCCTTTGCCTTGTCTCATCACCTCCCCTCCTCCAAATATTTGCCCTCTAACCCCTTCAATAACGATATATCTTTTAGCTCTTGATTCATGTATATATCTCCCTTTCCTGCTATTTTATTAGAGCTCCTTGAGATTGAGGAAACTTTTTTTTTAATATATTTCTTTAATGATTTCAGAGAGAAAGGAAGAGGGAGAGATAGAGACATCAATGATGAGAGAATCATTGATCTGCTGCCTCCTGCACACACACCCCTACTGGGGATCAAGCCTGCAACCCAGGCATGTGCCCTTGGCCACAATCGAACCTGGAACCCTTCAGTCCGCAGTCCGACACTATCCACTGAGCCCAAATGACTAGGGCAAAACTATTTCTTACACAGGTGTAAGCAAGCATTTGGATGAATGAGAGTACTCAAGTCTCACCTAATAGTGTTTTGTTTTTGTTTTTGTTAATAGTGTTTTTAAGTACCATAAACTCTTCATTGTTTTAATTGTAGACTTTTGGGCATAAAAACAGAAACTCCAAGTACCGTCTCAACAAATGCAAGTACACCGCAGTCAGTGAGCAGCGTGGTTCATTATCTGGCAATGGCACTCTTTCAAATAGAGCAAGGCATTGAGCGGCGTTTTCTCAAAGCTCCACTTGGTAAGTATCTGTTTTTAATTCAAGATACTAGTTATCTTTTAAATGATTTTGAAATTGCCTTTTAATTAATAGAACTTCATTGGCTAACATAATGAAGTTAATTTATTTGAAAAATTTGAGATTGTATTTTCATTTTAATACATGAGTTCTTTCAGATGAGATTTATTTTTAAAATCTTAAAAAAATATGAAATACTATTTTTAAAAATTTATTCTTGGTATTTAATAAATGTCTTTTTAACTATTTCTGTCAATATCTTCTTTTGTGAAACCTTAATCAGAAGTAAGATTACCACAACCTATGATTAACCAGACTCTGAAGAATCAAAGATTGTACATAAATTTTTTGTTAATTTTTAAAAACAGAACTCCAAAGAAGCTACTTAAATTTCCACCATTAAGGGTATGGTTTAATGTGGAACACTAACCTGAACACTATATAAGAAGTGCTAGATCAGAAATACCAAATGTTGCCCAGCCAGTGTGCCTCAGTGGTTGAGCATCAGTCTACCCATGAACCAGGAGGTCACGGTTTGATTCCCGGTCTGGGCACATACCCAGGTTGTGGCCTCAATCCCCAGTTGGGGGCGTGAAGGAGCAGCCAATCAAAGATTCTTTCTCATCATTGATGTTTCTATCTCTCTCCCTCTTCCTTCCTCTCCAAAGTCAAAAAAAATATTTTTTTAAAAAAAGAAAGAGCCTTGACCTGTTTGGCTCAGTGGCTAGAGTGTTGGCCTGTGGACTGAAGGGTCCCGGGTTCGATTCCGGTCAAGGGCATGTACCTTGGTTGCGGGCACATCCCCAAGGAAGGGAGGGAGGGAGTGAGGGAGGGAGGAAGGAAGGAAGGAAGGAAGGAAGGAAGGAAGGAAGGAAGGAAGGCCAAGTGTTAAATGATACATAGATGAGGAAATGTTCTATAATTTATTATTAGAATTATAGAAATAAGAATATCTGGATCATATTTCAGCAATTTACGAAATTAATATGCTTTCAGGGACTAGTAATTAAGGAACATAATCATTGTGTCTTTAGGAAAACATGTTTCAAGTTTCAAATCAATTTTCTGTCATACTCTACTTCCCTGAAATGTTGAATTAACTTACAATTCATCATATCGAGATAGATTTTTTTAAAATATATTATTATTGATTTCAGAGATAAAGGGAGAGAGAGAGAAACATCAGTGATAGAGAATCATTGATTGGCTCTCTCCTGGACACCCCCTACTGGAGATCGAGCCTGCAACCCCGGCATGTGCCCTTGATCGGAATCAAGCCCAGGACCCTTCAGTCCCCAACGCTCTATCCACTAATCCAAACCAGCTAGGGCTCGAATAGCTTATATCTCAATAATCAGTACTAGAAGAAACAATTCTTTAAAACCATCTCTTTTTGGTCTCCTATTGAAAGAACTTGAATAGACTAAAATCTTTTAAAATGTTGTTGATTATTACTTGTTGAGTAGTAAGAACAAAGTTTTATAAACAGATGGTGCTATCAGAGCAATTTCAGAATGTGAATATATTTGTAAAGTGTCTATTTTTAAGTTGAAGAGCTTCTGGCCAGTATCTCATTGTTCTGATGAACTTACTCATATTTTTTATAAATTGATAATTCTACCATGAGCTTAATAACACACTTTCCACATTGAAAGTAACATTTGTAAGAAATAAAATACATACGATCACAGCTCACAAAGATATCAGAGTTTGTATTTACTATATTACTGTTATTTCCCAGTTTTCAGTATTTCTTAATATTTTCTGTCTAAATCAAATTACATGTACAAGGCGTCTCTCTGTATTATTTCTTATAACCACATATTGAAGCTGTAATTAATTCAGTTAAAATTTCAATTAAAAGTTATTTGTAAACTACGTAGCTCTTATAAATGTAAGATGCTACTACTACTCATCAATCCTATGATTCCAAAAGGGGCAAGAGGTAAAATACAATTCTGCTGATTTTTATATTTCTGAAATTTCCATCAGTTAAATTTCATAAGTTCAAGAGGGAAAAAATCAAATTAATTATTTAGTGTATTTGTATTTTCATCAGTACATCTTATTAACTATTTAAACAAAGGAAAAAAATTAACATGAGAAGATGTTGCAACATATCTGGTAGCTACATTAGAGCTATGAAGTTTTTAAATGCTGGTTTGTATATGGGAGTATTAGAACATTCATTTCATCCCAAAAGATATTTTAAAAACCATTTTAATTTGGAATTTTAAAATCCTATGTAATAAAAGCATAGTATGCAAATTGTCCCCTCGAACTGGATTTTGACCAGGGGGCTGGGCTGGCTGGGGGAAGAGAGGAAGTACCAGGCCGGCAGCTGGCACCCACTAGGGACCCTACCAGTGCACGAATTCCATGCACTGGGCCTCTGGTAAGTAAAATTAAAAAGGTCAACTTACCTTACTTATTTTGGTGGTATATGTTGGTCAAAGCCAGATATTGGTTATTTATCATATGGTTGTTACCATTGCTGCCCACTAAAAAGTTAATAGTAAAACTGATGTCTATAGCTCTTTATTTTATGTTTGTCTTTGAGGGGTTTGTTTTGAATGGGACAACAGGAAATGGAGGCAGCAATGGGTTTTAAGATAGCCTGAATATTTGGAACAAGGTAATAAAGACTATCATTCAGGAGGGAAAAGGGGGTTCCACTTTATAAATGTTTGAGTAGAATATAAAAATTTTCCATTCTTGATAATTTTTCAACATAGCAAATTAACTATAGTAGGATTTTCCCAGTTTAGCTTCAGATATTATTTCAGTTTTTTGATATATGTGTGTGTGTGTGTGTGTGTGTGTATTTTAATTGATTTCAGAGAGGAAGGGGAAGCACAGAGGAAGGTCTATCTCTGAGACCTTCAGAGATAGAAACATCAATGATGAGAAAGAATCATTGATTGGCTGTTTCCTGCATGCCCTACACTAGAGATTGACCCCACGCCCCGGGCATGTGCCCTGACTAGGAATCAAACTGTGACCTCCTGGTTCATGGGTCCACCAACGCTCAACCACTGAGCCATGCCAGCCTGGCTATTTCAGTTTCTTAAGGAAGCAAATAAGAAATAAAAATTCTACTTATGTTCTACCTTCCCTAATATGTCCTTTTTACTCTAGGGATTAATCACATGGATAAAACTATGCTTGGGAATATCATCATATTTCAATTATTTTATGTAAGATTTGTGAAAATCATTTAGGTTAATAATTGTATTATTTATAAAATCATGCTTATGGTTAAACCCTTAAGCTATGAAAAATCTTCAAACTATCAATTTGAAATTAGGTCACACAAATTAATAAAGATCAAAAGGAAGATAGAAAAATAAAGAACCAAAAAAAGCTAGAGGAAGATCAATCTAGTTCTTTAACTTTTTAAAGAACTTCGTCTTTTTTAAATAATTATGACTTCACTTCCTGTATTGCTGAATACTGGTTTGCTTATTTAGCTTTTGAAGGAAAACCTTGGTTCTGATTATTTTGGAAGGGAATATCATCTTCCTAACATTTTCCTTTCTACATTTCACACCTTGGCTAATCAAACTCTTCTAAGTTTGTTTATAAAAAGTTAACATTGGTGAATCTTAGCGTACTTAGATATTAGCGAAAAGATTGAAGAGGTATGGATTCCAAGATTTACAGGTTAGGAGTTTTTGTTGTTTGGATTTCCTAGAGTGGCAGTTAACAGTATAAAATCTCTCAGTGTAATAGTAGATCATATGACTCTAACAATATTTTATGTTAGTTAAATACTTTCATTTAGTAATTTCTTGAGGAATGTACCTGTGCTAGCATAATGGAAGATAAAAGAAAAACAAGACATTTCTGCCTGTGAGCATGGTATAATCTGAAGAAGAAGCAAGGCTGAAGATAAACAATTAAGAGGAAAATTGAATCAATTGTATATTACTGTATTTACCCTTGTTTGAATGCTATAGGAAAATATAGACAACCATTTATATTTATTTTATATTTAGAATAGTTGAAAGTAGGTAGGAATCGGTGGGATAAAAATTGGACCTTGAGCTTGTTTAAATTTCTTAAAGCACCTCTTTGATCAAAACCGAGTGTTTCACCAACATTTGAGTTAAAAATAAAAGCCATTCGATAGAATCAAGATGACAGCATAGGTAAATGCCTATTATTACTGCATCCCACAGCCACATCAAACTTACAACTAAAATACAGAACAACTGTCATCCAGAACAGCCAAAAAGCTGGCTGAATGGAAGTCCTACAACTAGAGAGGTAAAGAAGAAAACACACTGAGACTGGTAGAAGGGACGGAAACTCGGAGGCTGGTCCGGCACCTGGGTGTGCCACTTTTTTAATCAGAAAGGAGTTCGCCTCTGTGGAGGCTCCCGGAGGAGTGAGGGGTCCCAGCCCCACCAGACCACCAAGCCAGGGTTCCAGAGCTGGGGAAAGAAGTCCCTATAGGCAGTAAGAACTACGGACTGTAAAAACCAGTGTGGATTGGATCTGAGTAACACACAGGCTACTAGAGACCCCGCTGCTCCTCTTAAAGGGCTGGGTGACCCAGACACGTACAGGGAAAAACTGGACGGTCTGGCATTGGGGCAGGAACTCGGGGTCTTTCTTCCAGATAGAGGTGCTCACAGTGGTCATCGTTCCTGTGCTGAGACCTCCCAGGTGTAAGGCTGACTGGCAGCCATTTCTGTTTGCTCCCTCCTGGTGATTCCCTCAGATCCCCCCCTACCCAATTTACAACCCCACCCAAGCTGAGCACAGCAGCTTTTGCATATGAATGGTCTGTCCTTTCTCAGGCTAAAACTCTGTCAAACAAGCTGCAGCTGGGTCAGGAAGCCCCAAACCTATCAATAAAAGGCCCAAGACCCAGCACCAGAACCAGCATGCCTTGCTTCAGAGCTGGGCCTCAACTGGACACTTCCAAACCTAATACAAAGAGGAGAAATCTGTAGCTCTCTCTGTAGCTCCTGCTGGGTGGCCCCAGGCAGTGGCTAACTTTGCACCTCCCTGGAGACCAAGAGCCGGTGTACCCAGTGGTCAGAGTGAGACCATACCGGGCTACAACTCTTCACATCCATAAGTGACACACTCCAGGGGCAGACTCAGTGAGCACCAAAGCCCCACTGAAGCAAGTCCTGCCCCATAAGGGTTTCTCCTGCACAGCAGCTCTTCCATTGTAGGCACAGCTGGTCCTCATGGCCAATTGGCCTGGAGGTCAATTCCTCCCGGTGATACCAACAACAATCAAGGTTCAACTACAGCAAGACTGTGCACACAGCCCACAAAGGGGTGCACTAAGAGTGTCTACCACCTCAGGTGATTGGGGAGGCTGAGCCACTGGGCCCTATAGGACACCTACGACACAAAGCCACTCTGTCAACTCAAGGAGACTTAAGCAGCTACCCAATACATTGAAACAAACACAGGGAAGCAGCCAAAATGTGGAGACAAAGAAACGTGTCACAAATGAAAGAAATAGAAGAAAGCAAACTACTGGATATAGAGCTCAAAACCACAGTTATAAGGTTACTCAAGAATCTTCTAGAAACCTCCAAGGGACTTAGTGAGACCTTCAAGGATCTTAATGAGAATGCCAAAAAAATGGAAAAGAACCAGTCAGAAATTAAGCACACACTGACTGAAATAAAGAATAATATACAGGGATTCAGCAGTAGACTAGATCCCAAGAATCAAATCAATGATTTGAAATATAAGGAAGCAAAAACCACCCAACCAGAAGAGCAAAAAGAAAAACGATTCCAAAAATATGAAGATAGTGTAAAGAGCCTCTGAGACAACTTCAAGCATACCAACATCCGCTTTATGGGGGTGCCAGAAGAAGAGAAAGAGCAAGATATTGAAAACCACCCTGACTGGTTTGGCTCAGTGGATACAGCGTCGGCCTGCGGACTGAAAGGTCCCAGGTTCGATTCCAGTCAAGGGCATGTACCTTGGTTGCGGGCACATCCCCATTGTGGGGTGTGCAGGAGGCAGCTGATTGATGTTTCTCTCTCATTGATGTTTCTAACTCCCTATCCTTCTCCCTTCCTCTCTGTAAAAATCAATAAAATATATGTATTTTTAAAAAAGATATTGAAAACCTATTTGAAAAAATAATGACAGAAAACTTCCCCTACCTGATGAAAGAAATAGACTTACAAGGAAGCACAGAGAACCCCAAACAAGAGGAATCCAAAGATGACCCCTCCAAGACACATCCTAATTAAAATGCCAAGGGCAAAAGACAAAGAGAGAATCTTAAAAGCCGCAAGAGAAAAACAGTTACCTACAAGGGAGTGCCCATATGACTGTTGGCTGATTTCTCAACAGAAACTATGCAGGCCATAAAGGAGTGGCAAGAAATATTCAAAGTGATGAATAAGAACCTACAACCAAGATTACTCTATCCAGCAAAGCTATCATTTAGAATTGAAGGTCAGAGAAAGAGCTTTACAGACAAGGAAAAACCAAAGGAGTTCTTCACCACCAAACCAGTATTATATGAAATGCTGAAGGGTATTCTTTAAGAAGAGGAAAAAGAAGAAAACAGTAAAGATAAAAAATATGAACAACAGCCGAAACCGGTTTGGCTCAGTACAATTGAATCTAAAAATCAAACGAATAAAAAATCTGATGAACAGAATAAACTGGGGAATGGAATAGAATCAGGGGTATCTATCAACAATTGAATCTAAAAATCAAATGAATAAAAATATCTGATGAACAGAATAAAATGGTGAATGAAATAGAATCAGGGGCATGGAAATGGAACAGACTGACGATTCTCAGAGGGAAAGGGGTGTGGGGGGCGTGGGAGAAGAGATTAGACATTAGATTAGGCATTACCTATGGACACAGACAATAGGGTGCCGAGGGCCTGGGGTGCGGTGGGAATCAGATGGGGTGGAGCAATGAGGGGGGAAAACAAGGGACATCTGTATTAATCTCAACGATAAAGATTACTTTTTAAAAAATACCCTTAAATTAATTAATTAATAATAAAAACCATTCAAATTAATTTTCAAGGATTCAAAATATCTTCATAATTTGTCTTTTTCTTCAGCTCTTCCACATTGGCCTCTGCAAGCTTATTTCTTGCCATTACAAATAACAATGCACTCTGATTTATCCAGAAAGATTTCTTCAAGATCTTTGAATTAACAGTTCTTATTGTTGCCTTCCTTGGAAGTCCCACTCAGGCTAGACTTTTCATGAAGCCTTCTATCAAAAACCAAGATAAATAGAAAGCACATTATGAGCCTGGCCTGTGTGGCTCAGTTGTTGTGTGTCGACCCATGCACCAGGAGGTCCCGGTTCAATTCCCCATTAGGGCACATGCCCAGGTTGTAGGCTCAGTCCCCAGCAGGGGGACATTCATGAGGCATAGGATGGATGATTCTCATCATTGATGTTTCTATCTCTCTGTTTCTCTCTCTAAAAATTAAATTTAAAACCTTTTTTTAAAAGAAAGCACAAAGTGAGAGGGTGGAAATAAGTCAAATGAACTATACTGCATTTTTTCCCACCTTACTAATATTTCTCTTTAGCTTTGTCTGAGGAGCCATTAGAACCATCTACTTTTTTCCTCTCCCATTGAGTGATTAATCTCTTACTTGTAGAAGTTCTGGTTCTTTTTCAGACTGCTTATTTACTCACATTTTCAAATGTTTATTTCTTAAAACATATACAGCTATTTTATATTCTGTTTATTTTTTTTCCAGAGAGGAAGCGAGAGGGAGAGAGAGAGAAACATCAATGATGAAAGAGAATCACTGATCAGCTTCCTCCTGCATGCCTTCCACCTGGGGATTGAGTCCACAACCCGGGCATGTGCCGTGACCAGAATCAAACTGACCTCCTGGCTCATAGGTCGACACTCAACTGCTAAGCCACATAGGCCAGGCTAGCTAATTTTCTAAATTAGATCAAGATTTACTACAAAGATTAGATTGAGAACACATTGCCTAAGTTATTTTTTTAACTGTTGAAATCCCCAACCATTTGATGTACAGATTTAACATAAACAAGATGTGATTCAACAAATATTTTCTTTAACTGATATTTTTGTTTTTAATATTACCATGGTATTTTTATTAGGTATTACAAGAACTGTAAAATTTATCCTGTTTAAACTACCAAGAAAATAGTTCTAGGAGATGTCTAAAATTTGCCTAGAAACTTTAATCACTTTCCATTTTTATTTAAGATGCCAGTGACAGTGGGCGTTCTTATAGAACAGTCCTGGACCGTTGGAGAGAGTCCCTTCTTTCTTCTGCTAGTCTATCCCAAGTCTTTCTTCACCTCTCCACCTTGGATCGAAGTGTGATATGGTCTAAGTCTATACTGAACGCTCGTTGTAAGATCTGCCGAAAGAAAGGTGATGCTGAAAACATGGTACTTTGTGATGGCTGTGATCGGGGTCATCATACTTACTGTGTTCGACCAAAGCTCAAGGTATTTTTTTCTTTTTCTAATTCTCAGATTGTAATTGAAACATTGAGATTTTGAATGACCGATGATTAATGAACATTATGTGACTTTTCAGACTGTGCCTGAAGGAGATTGGTTTTGTCCAGAGTGTCGGCCAAAGCAACGTTCTAGAAGACTTTCCTCTAGACAGAGACCATCCTTGGAAAGTGATGAAGAGATGGAAGACAGTATGGAAGGTGAAGATGATGAAATTGATGGTGACTATGAAGAGGGTCAAAGTGAGGAGGAAGAGTATGAGATAGAACAAGATGAAGATGACTCCCAAGGAGAGGAAGAAATCAGGTAAGTCCTAACATGCAATAAAAATGGAGGATTCATGAGTCCTAACTAGACAATCTCTTTACTGAATCAAGTATAAATGGAGTGGTTGGGGTTCATTTTTTTAAAAAACTAGTATGTAAAGTAATATAGTAGCATGAAGTTACCCTTGCTTTATGTATTATAAACATTCAAATTTTTCCCAAGGAAGTATAGTAGCTTTGTGAACTTTGCCAGATCATAAAATCAAGTATGAGTTCAAGGTTGGACAGGATTTCAATCAGACCCACCTCAAGGGTGATTTTACTTAATTTTATGTTTAAAGTAGCAAACAAACAATCCAGAGGATATTCGTAAGATGAAGATAGATGCAGCTTTCCAATGCCTCTGTACACAAATTTTGGTTGATCTTGGCAGTCTACAGAGAGAGTGAGACTGAGAGAGAGAGATGCCAGAAGCACATTGTATTTGTTTATACTCCTACCACATCAGCACACAGAAACAGTCTATACTACCACATAACCAAGTGTTCTGCAACTTGCAAATTATGCCACCCACACCTAATCAGTGAGTTTAGGGCCGGGTTATTCCTACTATGCCAGCTATGGGGCAGTCTCTCCTTATTTGTCCCTAAAACCTTGCCCCCTTTTTAATATTTGAATCCCATTCATGTGGAATCAGGAAAGTGAATGTGAAACAAGGGCACCTAGAAGTAAAGTACAAAAAGGCCACCATCCAAGGAGATTGTTGAGAGAACTGCCCTATCAGTTTCAGACAAGTTGTTTAAGATTTTATTGATTTTTTTTAGAGAAAAAGGGAGAGAGAGAGAGAGAGAGAGAGAGAGAGGGAGAGAGAGAAACATCCATGTGAGAGAAACACATTGATCAGAGAGGATTCCTGCATGCCCTCCCACAGGGGATCAAATCTGCAACCTGGGTATATGCCCTGACCGGGAATCGAATCCGCCACTTATTGGTGTACAGACTGATGCTCCAACCAAGGGAGCCACACCAGCCAGGGAACAAGTAGTTTTTTGTTTTGTTTGGAGGGGCAGGGGGGATTGTTATTGTTTTTAAATATATTTTTATTGATTTCAGAGAGGAAGGGAGAGGGAGAGAGAGACAGAAACATCAATGATGAGAGACAATCATCGATCCTCCTGCCTGCCCCCCACTGAGGCTCAAGCTGGCAACCCAGGCATGTGCCCTGACCGAGAATTGAACCGTGACCTCCTGATTCATAGGTCGATGCTCAACTAAGCCCCACCAGCCAGGCACAAAGTGTTTTTTAAATAGCTCCAACTAGCAGGAGCCATATTCCCTGTAGCTTACAAGGGTAGTATTGTGTTAAGCATAAAGATGATAAAGAATTTGGAAACTTCTTGGAAATATTTTAGGTAAACTGGAAGTCTGGGTATATGGAAAGATGGATAAATGGAGGCTTAATGGAGTTATTTTATCCTTGTCTACAACTTAAAGACAATTAAAAGATTGAATCTAGTTTTGTATTTTCCAGTAGAATCAGGATGGCAAAGAAATTCTTGATTGGTATTCAGGAACAACAGATTTAAGGCTTACTTTAATGGCAGCTATTGGCCGAAACTGTAGTAATGAAAAGTAATAATACAGAGACAAAAGATTTGCATTTAAAGATTAGTTTATCACTCTATAATCAACATGATTAAGTCTGCTTATTGGTCCTCCTGTAGATTTTATTATAGTTTATCACAATTTAGAATTTGATTTTCATGATGATATCCTGAAATCACTAAGAAAATAATAAATATTCTCTGCATTACAAAGAAATATATGAAAACACATTTTAGATTTCCATAAAAATTTGTTAACTCCAAGTTTAAAGAATTGAGCATAGGATAAGTCTCATTAATATAGAAAAGTAATATGTAGAACTTATTGGCTGAATACTAGAACCAGGGGAATAGAAGTAATTGTACATTCATCATTGCTCTATATAATAATTGTATTTTCTAACAATATTTATAGCCCACCAAAACGAGGAAGACCACAAGTTAGATTGCCAATTAAAACAAGAGGGAGACTTAACTCTTCTTTTACAAGTCGTGGCCAACAAGATCCTAGAAGGTATACTTCAAGAAGTCAGCAGAGTACACCCAAAACATCTGTTTCTTCTAAAACTACTAGTAGAAGCCTAAGGAAGATAAAGTCTGCTCCTCCTACAGAAACTAAATCTTTAAGAATTGCCAGTCGTTCTACTCGCCAGAGTCATGGTCCATTGCAAGCAGATGTATTTGTGGAACTACTTAGTCCTCGTAGGAAACGTAGAGGCAGGACAAGTGCTAATAGTACACCAGAAAATAGTCCCAACTTGCCTAACTTCAGAGTCATTGCCACAAAGTCAAGTGGACAGTCAAGATCTCTAAATGTTGCTTCAAAACTTTCTCTCCAAGATAGTGAATCCAAGAGAAGAGGCAGGAAAAGACAATCTGCAGGTATGAAGAAGTCTTATTTAAACTATTCTTACCTAAGAAAATTGAATAATTTGGAAAGATTAAATGTTGGGATATTTTGGGTCATTTTTTTAAAGGCTGTCACTAAGATATACAAAGTTTTTAGGGAGCAACCTTCCCTGATGCATAATATTCATTGAAGGGGCAGCTATTTGGAGAAAAAAAGGTAAACTATATCACTAGTATTTCTACTAGTATAGCAGGGTAGTTGTGAGAAATTTGCTAATGGAGAGACTTGGCCAATACTTGAACAGTCTCAGTATACCACATTATGACACATTTCATTCTCTTACACCTTTTTCTCCTTAAAACACTCATACTCATTATCATCTAAACAAGCTGTATTAGGTTATTTGTTAAGGTTCCTATCTGATATACTGAATTTGGGGCATTAGAGAATTGGGGGCAGTACTATTGTTAGAGTGATCACAATCTATCTAATTCTAATCATTGTTTATAGTAATCTTTATCCATATAATCTCTTTATCCATTTATCTATTTAATCTTGCCTTTTTTCTTTAATGTCCGTGGTAATAAAACTTTATTTCCAAAAAATGAATTGAAACAAAAAATGCTATTATCCTTTGAAGAATTATGTAGATAGGTTGTATTGCATCATTTGAACAATGACAGGAGTAAAGAATTTATTGGTGAAAAATGGGTTATAATTAGTCTACATGTTGTCAGGTTTTGGGGGGACGGAGGAAGTATCAGGTAATTTAGCTTTTCTTATCCCTTTATCTGTTTTGCCTTTCCCTGAATCTGAACTTCAAACTAGTAAACCTGAACTGTTTCTATTCAAAAACACTGCTGAAAAAATTTGTGTTGTTATTGATTTGTGAAATCACTATCCTGTTTCTAAGGACAAATAAAGGGGGAATATGTGGATTTACATTTAAGTAGAGAATTTAAACACCTGGATTCATATGTGGACTATACTACTACCCTTTTCTACTAATTCATCTACTTTAGATTTCAATTTAGGTATATACTTAGATTTTATGAGAAAGCATCTTGCTTTAAGAAGATTCTCCATATAAAATTAAGATTTAAAGAGGTCTAGTTTCTAGATCTGAAGAGGTAACTTTCCAATTGATATGTTTTAGGAAATACTGTAGAATTGCTTACTGCTATTTTACTGTAGTTGAAAATATATTTTTAATAAAACGGTAAAAAATCCACAAACTTTATGTTCTAGAATTTTCTTTTGTATTACACTCATTTTTCAATCTGTTCCCAATGAATTTTCAATGCAAATGGAAATTTATCCCAAATGTAAGTTAGTTTAACATCTCAGTATATAATGTCAATTTTGTTTGAATTTAGTTTGTATTTATAGGCCCTGTTTAGCTTGTAGTGATCAAATATTTTTCTTTGTCATCACCTAAAGTTAATTTAATTATTTCTTTAGAATCATCTCCTGTGACACTGAATCGAAGAAGTTCAGGCCGACAGGGAGGAGTTCATGAATTGTCTGCTTTTGAACAACTTGTTGTAGAATTGGTACGGCATGATGACAGCTGGCCTTTTTTGAAACTCGTTTCTAAAATCCAGGTAGTATTTTTAGACTTTATAAAATGTATTCCTGTACATTATTTAGTCTGCATGACAGTTTTGAGATAGTCCAAACACCTTTTAATCACTGCATTTTTTTTAAACACTTGAAAAGTTGGTCTCTATATTTTTTAAAAAAAGGAGTTAGCATAGTCTCCTCAGTCCTTTCTAACTCTGTGACTGATTTTTTTCCTTATTTTTATTTATTGATTTTTAGAGAGAGAGAGAAACATCATTTTTTTGTTCCATATATTTATGTATTCGTTGGTTGATTCTTGTATATGCCCTTACCAGAATCAAACCCACAACCTTGGTGTATCGGAACAATGCTCTAACCAACTGAGCAACTCGGCCAAGGCCCTGTGACTGATGCTAATAAATGATGTCTGTGTTGAAATAACCTCAATGTTTTTTATTCAAGATAATGAATATGAATGAATATGAATAGAGTTAATTCAACTGAGTACCATTGTTGGTATTTCTATTATGTAAAACTGTGGTTCTCAAAATTCAACACACATCAGAATCACCTGGAGGATTTGTTAAAACACAGATTACTGGGCCCTACCCAAAGTTCTTGATTCACTAGGTCTGGGTT